CCTCACACGAGACCTCCACAACCCAGCTCTATTTCACGCCTAGGTTATACACCGGAGTCACTCTACAATGGCTTACAGTGAGTATCAAGGGGTGGGCTGGAGAGGAGGAGCTTAACCGAGAAGAAGAGAGAGTATTTATCAAAGAAGGCGAGAGAGAAGTGTAGTGGAGAAGCCAAATCCACGTGAAGTAGTGGGAAAAATAGGGCACACAATCCGGGTTAAAGCATAGGCCCAACAATGGTGTTAAAGAGAACCATCAAAATAGTCCCAATAAGTCCACACTAACTTAATACAAGCTCTGAGAGATGACAGAGACTTAAAGTCATTACTCATTAGATCATTGATAGTTTTTTTATATTTTTATTCTTACATTTTTAAAATTTTTTCCCATACTTTTATTGAATGTCTCTCCTTTTTCGTGAACATGCACATGCTTATAAGCACGTAGCTATGGTCTAATGTCTTCATTCGAACTTCTTTGGATTGCTTTATGTTTTGTTTCTAATATATTTCTGCAAAAAATCTTAACATTAGAACAAATTATCTTTACATAGAGTTTGTTTGGGAGTGATTTTTGGGGGAAGAATTGATTTTGAATAGTGATATGATATGAAATGTGTGGTTGAAAAAAAAGAAAAAATTATTGATGTGATGGAAAATATTATTTTATTGAAAAATGTGTAGTTGAAATTGAGAATTGATTTACTGTAGAAAAATCTAAATCCCTCCCAAACATGACCATATAAGAACTAAAATAGTACTTCAAGATGTTAGTTTGCACAAGGGCACCATTTTTGAGATTTTTGACTTCATCTTTTGAGTTGTCATCGAGATGTTATTGTGATCGCCTTCTCGTCGTAGCCAAAAGGTTTCACCTTAATTTAGCATTTCAACAACTTTGGAGATATTATAGGTATTTCATGATTGTCGTCATCGTCGTTTGATAATTTTTTTGTAAAAAAGTAATGGTGGGAAAGTGTTATTTTCGTTGGTATTCATTATTATGTTCAATATATATATAAGTGTGTACAACCTTTTAATTACAATCAAATGCATTATTATCCCCTATTTGGTCGGGATTAAAATCTGATTTTAATCAAAGTCAAAGTCAAACAATCAATATTAACCACATCTTTTATGGGTACCACAACTTTTCAACCACACATTTCAAAAACTTCTATCACAATCTACTAAAAATCTAATTTTAATCCCCACCAAATGCCCATATAAAACCAACGGAGTTATCGAGATCTGTTAATGCTATTGTAATGCAGTATAAACACGTCATTGAATAACTATTTCACTCAGTTTCTCCTTCGACTGAATGAATTTTGCAATGAAGAAAACAATTAGCGATGTTCGTGGGTGTAGTACCCCGAATTTCGTATTGGGACTTGACTGCAAAGTTCAGAAACTTCAAATTGAAATTAGCGACCAAAGTGAAAATTTTGAAAAATATGATTTAATTGAATGAATGATGAATTTAAAGTTTATTCATGTTAATATGAGCTAGTTGAAGAATGAAATGTAATTCGGGACTTAATTGCAATATTTGAAAAGTCCAAGAAGTGAACTGCAATTCAGGAAGGTTGCATATTTATTGTTTTCGGACTTGGAAATATAATTTTGAGGATGACTAAATGTTATTATTAGAGATTTAGAATCATTATTTCAAATTTCGTAGTTCGAGGACCAAGTTTTCAATTTTGGTAACTCGAGGGACTAGGGGTAAGCATTTTAACTTGAACCGAGATGAAATTGTCAGTTCCAATAAGGTTCCAAAATTACATGGAGCTTGAAGGTTCTATTTACAAAATACTCAAATTTCAATGGATTCTTTCCATTCTTTAAATACTTTGACCAAAATTCGATTAGGAATTGAATTTTCATTTTTTTATGTCTTGTTTGATTGCTCTTTCTTTTCCATGGAAGATGGAAATTAAAATCAATTGTCACCTTTTTGCATGTTTAATTGACTAAATTTTCCTTGGAATTGGTTTTCCACATTTTCTTAGTTTTTGAGGAAAAATTTTTCCTGTGGATTTGGTGGGAAAAGTTTTTCTAGGCAGTTTTTTTTTTTACACAAATTCTATCCCCAATTGTAACAAATTATATACTTTTAATGGACAATTTTCATGAAAAACAAAGTCAAACAAATACCAAAAGATCCAAAATTTCAATATTTTCGAGGTGAAAAATTATACCAATCAAACACAATTAATTGACAAATCCCAATGAAACAAGTCTAGGCAATTTAATTATCTGAAATTCATTTTCTTTCTACCCAAATTCTATTCTTGCAATCAAACGTACCCTTAAGTTTTTTTACTTTTCACTTTCGCAGATTGTGTTCACTAATGGTAGATTCACCAAATACATTAATCTAATGCAATTGGTTTCCATCAATACTGTACAACAAAACTTTCTGACTAGAAAAGCTGGAAAGAAAACTTTCGAACACCAGTGAAGAGTCCAGACATAGTTTTTCTTTCTTCACCTTATTTAAAAATAGGGAGAATCGTTCCAAATATTTCCATTTTTTCTTCATAGATTTTATCCAAACCTTTCATTTAAAGTCAAACAATCATTATTAATCACATCTTTTATGGGTCCCACAACTTTTCAACCACACATTTCAAAAACTTCTATCACAATCTACTAAAAATCTAATTTTTATCCCCAACAAATGCCCATATAAAACCAACGGAGTTATCAAGATCTGTTAATGCTATTGTAACGCAGTATAAACATGTCATTGAATAACTATTTCACTCAATTTCTCCTTCGACTGAATGAATTTTGCAATGAAGAAAACAATTAGCGATGTTCGTGGGTGTAGTACCCCGAATTTCGTATTGGGACTTGACTGCAAAGTTCAGAAACTTCAAATTGGAATTAGCGACCAAAGTGAAAATTTTGAAAAATAAGACTTTCGTTGAATGAGTGATGAATTTAAAGTTTATTCACGATAATATGACCTAGTTGAAGATTTAAATGTAATTCGGGATTTAATTGCAATATTTGAAAAGTCCAAGAAGTGAACTGCAATTCAGGAAGGTTACATATTTATTATTTTCGGACTTGGAAGTATAATTTTGAGGATGACTAAATGTTATTATTAGAGATTTAGAATCATTATTTCAAATTTCGTAGTTCGAGGACCAAGTTTTCAATTTTGGTAACTCAAGGGACTAGGGGTAAGCATTTTAACTTGAGCCGAGATGAAATCGTCAGTTCCAATAAGGTTCCAAAATTACATGAGGCTTGACGGTTCTATTTACAAAATACTCAAATTTCAATGGATTCTTATTCGATTATGAATTGAATTTTCATTTTTAAAAAAAAAGTGTTGATGGAAACCAATCGCATTAGATTAATGTATTTGGTGTAACTACCATTAGTGAACACAATCTGTGAAAGTGAAAAGTAAAACTTTCGGAAACTAGTGAAGAGTCCAGACTTTATTTTTCTTTCTTCACCTTATATAAAATAAGGATAAAATGATAACTTTGTATTTTATACATAAAATAAGTTAAAAATTATCGGCCATCGTGTAACGCGTTTACTATGAGACTATTGCTAGGTGTTGCAAAAATGATGAATGATATTGTATTTGAATGGAGTTGGATTAGAATCTTCACTCCTATGATATAAGTCAATTAATAAACTCTGATTTTTTTTTATTTTTTTTTATCATTCAAAAAGGGTTCTTTTCCCTCTCCCCTACTCTTTCCATTGTCCATGACTATTTATTAAAAAAAAAAAAACTGATTTCTCAATGTTAGGAGAATGATAGGTGACAACTATAGTATAAAATAAACGAAATAAATTAGATTAAAATATATTCCCACTACATTTTAATGGTATGAAGGATCCATAATTTTAGTTATTATTACATTTATATCCTCAACTTTTTTCAGTCAATCTTATTCTCAAATTCACACAAGGTGTTCCTGGTAATGGTTTCTCTCCAGAAATGTCGTTAACACGCAGCGAAAAGATTTATTTTTCTCTCGTATTTTTAAATAAGCCAAAAAAAAAATAATAATAAAAAATTGCAAAATTGATTCTGAGTATTAGTTTCTTGTTTTAAAACTCATTATCAGTGTTTTCGCACAAAAACCATGATTAAGGACAACATTGCATGTTAATGAAATGCTAAAGATAAGAATAAGAAAAAAAAAATTTATGTATATAAATATGACAATTTTTTAATTTTAAAAATATTTAATGTAACTATAATGTGGTGTATCAATAAAAAGTTGGGATCACCCAACAAATTAAAATTGAACTTAATATTTGCAAGTTTCTTCAGCGGAGAAGAAATATTATGTTCTATCATTCTTTCTTGATTTTGTGGATATTATTGGCCTTGATAGTATTATAAAAAGAGAGAAAAGAGAAGACAAAAAGGGAAATCAATAGAATTTTGTATATATTATAATGAGAACCAAAACCCTATATTTATAGGGAATGAATATGAATACATACGGTAATAATATCTAGGGTTGTAGAGGTACAATTATCGTTCACTAATAACTTACCATTTACAACACTCCTCTTTGAATAACACATTACAAAATATCTACCTATACATTATTTGACAAAAATCCGATGAGACAAAAATGCCAACAACAAAGAATACAAATATGAAGAGTAATAAACTGTTGCCTTGTTAAAACCTTGTCAAGAAAATTTAGTGGGACAAAACTTGATCGGAGGAAAAAAAGTACAACTACTTCCCTTGATTTCAATTTTTGTATCAAGTGATTCATGTCTTGTATGTCAATGTCTTCAATATTTATATCTTGTACTGCAATATCTTCAAAAAAACTTCAGATGGACAAAACTTGATGACTGCAGTAATATGATAATTCGAAAAATAGCTCTTGTTGATTTCTTTAGGAGTCTCATAAATATCAGAGTATTATTTTGAGGGTAAATGTCTTCTAGGTTATAGACATTCATTATACAAAGAATATGCCTTATTAAAACCGTATTAGGAAAAACCCTGTGGACAAAATCTAATCGAATTTCAACATTTAAAGCTGATGTGTGAAATTGTTAATCTCTTTGGTCAGTAAATGCATATAAATGAATTATCTTTCGAACTTCTAGTTTTGTCTTTTACGAGAATAATGATGCATTTGTATATTATTTTCAACTTCTTAATTCTTTCCCCTAATACTTAGAGAATTGTCAAATCAAATTGACAATCATTTTTACTGAGTTATAAAGTATCACCCATTTGGGGTAAGGGTTCATATTATGCATTTATTCTCAGCTTTTTTTTTTTTTTTTTTAACTTTCCATCTCAGTGCATCGTGGTGAATTAATTTTACATATACTGCACTATCAAAATAATTTGATGGAAAAATTAGGCTCTAACCATAGGCCAAGTTATAACTAGAAGAATTATGGTGTTGGCATGATGTGTAATAACTTTCCCTAAACTAAAATGGGAAGTA